TCTTTTTCTCATTACAACATCATGTATGTATTCTGTATAACAATGAGGTTCTCCTTCCATCTTCTGTGCAACTCCCCTTCTCCCTCTTTTTCCCTCCCACCTCTCTTCCCTATTTAGTGGTAGTCTTCTTCTTATGCTCTTGCAATTATTTTTAAATGAACACAAATACACAATGCTTATGGATATGGATATTGGTACAACTTAACTCAAGTGCAACTGAGCACACACAGATGCACACAGACACAACACATACATGCACATATGTATGCATACAGACATGCAGATATTTGGAGATAGAAATGTCTTTAAAGAATGTGTTTGGACTGGGGCTGTGGCTCAGTGGTAGAGCACTCACCTAGCATGTACGAGGCGCTGGGTTTGATCCTCAGCACCACATAAAAATAAACAAAATAAAGGTATTCTGTCCAATTACAACTAAAAATCATTAAAAAGAAAGTGGTTTACTTTTGAACCAGTTTTCCACCTACAAAAATGCATTCTAAATAAATATTGGTGACATACAAAGTTGAATGAACAAGTTAACCAATAAGAAATCATTTAAGAGACATGATGCAAGGAATTAATTGATGAAGATCTATATTTATAAATGGATGATTATTCACAATTTTCTAAATACAAAAGAAAAAGGAAAATACCATATTGACATAGTTGAGATGTCTGAAATAATACTGATGGTTTGGAAAAATATTTACTCCTGGATAGTAACTTCATTAATTTAATTTTTAAAACATTGTCTCTTTCTTGTCTACTTTTTTTCTGGTTTTTCTCATGAAGATGGTATCTAAACCACTTCCTGCTTCTCTCTCTCTCTCTCTCTCTTTTTTTTTTTTTTTTCGTGCTTCTTGTTGGGCTGTCCTCACTCCTCACAATGACAGTCAGATCTCTGAGAATATGGACTGTGCCTTTTGCATCTTTGCATCCTCCTTAGCACTTGGGAAATACAGAGCAATATTCTGTTGAAAAAAACCCATTTATCCATGGAAGTGATATTGCTGCTACAGGTACWTTCAAGAACAGGTTCCCGTAGGCCTGCAGGTTCAACTGTTTATAACGAGGTGGCATTAGTTGGAATGTCTTTGTGTTCCTAAAGRATTTCTATATTGTCAAGAATCTACCAGTTTAGGGGCTGGGTTTGTGGCTCAGTGGTGGAATGCTTGCCTAGCATGTGTGAGGCCATGGGTTTGATCCTTGGCACCACATAAAAATGAATAAATAAAATAAAAGTATAAAAATGTTGTATCTGTTTAAAAAAAAAAAGGAATCCACCAGTTTAGTCGTAATCCCATATTGCCATGAGTTGTAGGAGATGACACATAGAAAATGATAGTTATTTTTCCCCAATTCATTACCAGCACCATGGAGGATCCCTTATACTTCCTCCTAATCAACAGTTCAAGGGAAACCACTATCTTGAGGGTTTTTTGTTGTTGTTCTTGTTGTTTTTCAGTGCTAGGGTTTGAAGGAAACCAGGGCCTCACACATGGTAGGCAAGTGCTCTACCACTGATGTATGCCCCAGTCCCTATCCTGCCCTACTGCTGGTTTTATTGAAGTATAATTGACAAACAAAAATTGCATTATGTTGGCAAGGATGTGGAGAAAAGGGAATCCTTGCACATTGCTGGTGGGAATGTAAATTAGTATAGTCTTTATGGAAATATGATGTCTCAACTACTGGCCATCCCTCAGTATATGGGGGTCCCTCAAAACGTTAGAAATAGAACTGCCAGATCATCTAGCAGTTCCACTCTGGTTTATAGCCAAAAGAAATGAAATCAGTATGTCCAAGAGACATCTGCACACCTGTGTTCATTGGAGCATTGTAGACAACAGACAGAGAATGATAGCTATTTTTATGCTATCTGTAGAAAGCATTTTCATTTGGTCAGGACTGTAGTTCCAAATTAAAAAAAAAAAAAAAAAAAAGATTGCTTTGGGACCACCTTCCAACTTATCATCTGAAGCAGTGCAGCTGTTTTTAGATGAGTCACTTCTAATCATTAATTCCATTCCTTTTGTGAGTTGGGCCAAGAAAGATAGTTGATTTTCTTGGATATTGTTTTATTCAGCTTTCTTCGCTGCTGTGATTAATGGACCCGGCCAAAACATTGTAGAGGAGGAAGAGTTTATTTGGAGGCTTRTGKTTTTAAAGGTCTCAATCCATAGACAGCAGGCTCCATTCCTCAGGGCTCGAGGTGAGGTAGAAGATCATGGTGGAAGAGTAGCAGAGGGAAACAGTGCACATAGAGATCAGAAAGCAGAACGAAAGAGAATCCACTCTTCCCATGGAGATGGCTTTGATTGCTGGGAACCAAGAGTCTGGAAGTGAATATGTTCATGCACAGGGCTGTTCTGACCATCTCTGCTAGCAATTGTCCAGTAGTTTCTGTACCACTACAGATGAGATAAAAGCTAGGAACAGCCTCATAGAGGCAAGAAAGTCCTTTTTTTTTTTTTTTTTTCTGGTTGCACTTCTGTGTGATAACAGACTAAGGAGTAATTTTGAAATAGCAAAGGCAGTGTAGAAACATAATAGGAAATTAATATCAGATTACAAATTTGATGGGAATTTGGTTACAGAGTATGATAGTGTGTATTATTACAATTCAGAACTCACTGGAATTTGGGTTTTCTGTGACTGAGGACAGTGGTGCATAATATTTATCACCTTATTATCARTATGCCAAGG